TCTCTCTCTCGACCCGGGCACCTGTAGCGTGTTCCCGCGAGGTGTGTTCGAGAGCCTGCCTGCCTGCCCGCCCCTGTGTGTATGAGAAAAGAGAGAGAGAGGCCACGATTATAAAACCCGGAAAGTGGGCCTCCAAACGTTAGCGCTGGCTTCCTCCGGCGTACCGGGGGTTGTCTCAAAGGTGCTCCGCCTCCCTGTGGGGTTGGTCAAATTGGCAGCTGCTGTGGTCAGCGTTGTTCACCTGCCTGTGTTTACTCCCAGTGGTACTCTTCTATAACCACGTAGCTTACGCGGGAGTAGTGGGGACGGTATTAAAGACTCATTCTTTTTTAACCTTTACGTTTGGGCAGTAGAAAGGGGGATGTTCGCGTTTCATCCCGCTACACGTGTTCTTTGGCACGTATGCAAAAGAGTAAGATAAGCGTTCATATCCTTCTCTCTTTTCTTCTTTTTCTTCACCCACTTTCCTTTTTATCAATCGGCCTGAAGAATCGATGTCTGCTTCATAGTCTGCACGTGCATGCAGCTGTGACAGCGCGTTTGGGCCGATCAGAAACCCTATCATGTGGCTGCTTTTGTTGTTGTCGTCGTTGTAATGCTCGATAGGAGTATACATGTGCTGGCGTTTTTGGTCACCACGATTTGGCTGTCTCGTTAAGTTATTGCATTTCTCATATTCGTAATTTCTTGCCATGTACAATGGCCATTTCTCCCCTGTGATCTTTTTGAATTGAAAGAGAAATGGTGCCAATGTGGCTCAGTTGGTGATCATGCTTTACAGAACTAGATGGTTCTGGTTCGTACTCTTTGTGTAAATGTGGCTTGTTTGAATATTCTCTCTCCTCCCCCGCCCTTTTTTCCCGATCACGTAAGGCTTGCTCCGAGATTACATAAGACTTACACTGTTATATGATCAAATAATGTTAAAACGCATGTGGAACCCAAGGCAGTAGCAGTTCTGTTCGTGTGAGCGTCTTTTTTAAAATTGATGACGGAAAAATGGAAAGGGGAAGGGGGGGGGG